CAACAACCGAACCACCCAACCACCCACCCAACCACCTAACCAACCAACCAACCAACCCATCAAACCACCAAACCGCCCACCTAACCACCCACCCAACCAAGCAACCAGCCACACAACCACCCATCCATCTGCTCAACCGCCCAACGAACCACCTAACCCAACCGCCCAACCACCCAACCACCCAACTAACCAACGAACGTACTACTGTTCGTAATTATGAATATATATTTTTTACAGCCGAGAGACTGGACTCATTGTGTCCGTCGCTTATCATACGCATTGTGTTGCCGTCATCTTTCGCAGTGTCGTCGGCTAGCAATTCAGACTCTTCGTAATTGCCAGGTTCACTTATTCAAACTTGTGACACAACATGGACGACGTTGTTGTTGTTGTGAACGAGGCTGTGGATGGAAAGGAAATCGCCGTGAGGGAGACAGTGTGTGAGCGCGATACTGAAAACGAAAGAGACTTTGAACACTGGGAAGGGGTTGTCACCACGAAAACACGTGTGTACTATGCGTTCATCGATGACACCCTCGCTTTCAGGGTCGTGGCAGGGCTAGGGTACGACGACCATGATCGCCTTGATGAGGTTGTAATGCACGCAAAAAAACTTTCGGATGTCGTTCCTGACGCTTGCGAACCCCCCGACTTCGATATGATTGGTCATTTGCTAAGGTGCATCGTGTCAGTCGTTGAGGTCGAGCATGTGGAAAGGTTAGCACCCAACGCATGGTATTTCTCCAAACTCAACAGACCGCTGCAACGCTGTACTTTTCTCCACGGAGATGTGCGCACTGTGTTGCCAATGGACGGTTGCTGACAACAGTACCAAAGTGTCAACGAACCATCATCCCGATCGTCTCATGCTTAGTCTGAAACAGGTGGGTTGAGTCACAAAATCGTGAAGGTTTTTAACATTCGACAGTGTTCGAGACCACGACTACCTGCTCATCCCATACATATGTTTAAACTGTGTCCCCCCTCCCCATGCGGTACATGCAGAATATCATGTTTGCGTTATTCGTTGCTCGATCGTTAGGTTCATAACTTACGGTGTCAGTTTCTGTGAATTGCAACACATTTTTAACGCCATACGAAAGAAGCGACGATGCATTGCGCGCTAATGATTGTCCGATGTTACCACACCACAAAACTGACAAGCGGCGACAACGTATACTATTACGAATCAATGATTCCCGTAACAGATCCTGTCGGCGGTGCAGCGGGATACCGCAATGGATACAAGAAGGTGGATCGTCATTTCGTTGTCAGCGTGAAGGAAGAACGAGTCGTTAGACTCACTACAGAAACTTATATTCGCGACCACACCATCGAACACGTTCGTGTCCTAATGTCTAAGCCAACCACGTACTTCAGTACCTTTGATCTCAAACCGGTCAACGGTGATTTCATGTATGATATCGTATTCCCCATTGTGCATCGTATACTATACACACACTACGGGATGGTTGCTCGGGACGGCGTCTGGCGCCTGGTCGTGTCACCGCCATATTTTGTCTCTAATGACGAGGATTTCTCTGCCATGTTTTATCCTTGCAGTGCGACCCAATGATGAGTACCATTCGTTAATTTTTTTCTTAGTTTCTTCGTTGTTGGAGAGAGATAAAATGATGGTTTTAACGATTGTACATTCTCTCTTTATACATATGCAAGCTCTATCTCCCATGTGTTTGTTATATGTTTTTAGTAGATTTTTTTTTTTTTGCTTACTTTGCGTTATGAAATTTGTTTTCGTTTTCGTTATGTGGAGGTACAGTAGGTACAGTACTAAGGTAATCGGTGCCCGTAATGTTCTGTTTTGTAGATTTCAAAAAAATCAAACATAAGCGACAAAACAATATTCACTCTTTCAAATACATGGACCGTCGACGACGCAGGGCTGGCGTGGGGGCCGACGCAGTAGTATTTGGAAATGGAACAGATACTGATGCTTTCCGCGATGAGGAACTGACAGTCGCCGAGATTAGGAGCTGGTGGCCGGGACCCGCAGCGCTTTTGGAGGAGGTTGTGACTTTTGTTGGCCTGAAGGAGCATTTGCAACAGTACATAAATCTGTTTATTGGTCGTGTAAATCTCGAACCCAAGCAGAATCGTTACAATGGATATGTCGTTTTTTCTCGGCTGTGCGGGTTCGTCGTTTTACGACAAAGATTGCCAGATGAGTTCCAAGACGCAATACGGGAACGATGTCCAGATACAATTATTCGAGGTTTTGAACTACGACAATGTGATCCTCCTGAAAACGCGAGCCCACGTCGACGTGCACGGCGGTAAATGCTTCACGAGAGATAGATAGATAGATAGATCGAGAGAGAGAGAGAGAGAGAGAGAGAGAGAGAGAGAGAGAGAGAGAGAGAGAGAGAGAGAGAGAGAGAGGATGCTTGCCTGTAGTGTGAGTACGTTTGTTAGTCCGACTGCGTGTTTCCCTTGAGTGTGTGTGCGCGATCGTAAACTTAAGCGTGGGGGTTACTTTTGGTGTGACTCGTAACGGGTCGTGCTTGTTCGACAGGCCATCAGGCCCAGTACTTACCTATTGTCGTGACTTGCAGGGATTGCATTATGTAAAATTTGGTTTCCCTGCTGTACATAATCTTCTTCTTCTTATAATCCTCGATCTCTCATTTGAAGTTTTTTTTTTTTTTTTTGCAATTGTATGTCATTGTACCATTGGCAATGGAGTCTGAGCGATTCTAATCCTCGCTCTCGCCACTCAACTTCATTCATTTACTGTTGCAACTGGATGTCATTGCAATATTGGATAAACGTGAAAATCTGAATTGGTTCGGCTATATAATGTGCGATCCAACTGTTGCCTAAGTTCGTAAGCATGTGAAGTATGGAAGTATGTGTAACTCGACATTGGTCCAATAATATCTATACGCAGAGGAGGAAAATAAATAAATAAATCAAACACAAGACATGAGATACCATCAGATGTGTGATATATATATATATATATATATATATATATATATATATCACTTGGTTACCTCCAAGCCTTCTTCTTCCTCGATCATCCACACCGGTCCGCCATAACCGGGCCGCCCCAACCCTTCTTCCTCCCCCACCGTTCACGCCCATCACTTGGTTGCATAAGAACAGGGGGAGACAATTTTGTTTTTTAAAACACCTAACCACCCATACAATATAAACCACGCCCACACATGCAGAACAAGAGGGGGAGAGGTGACAGAGTCAATCACGCACACAGACAAGGATAAGCAGCGGAATTCTACCATGCACACATCGACGAGGTCACACAATGACTCTCACTCTCCGACAGACTCCCAACAAACAATCACAATAAAGAACCTCAGCAAAATCACAATTGATAGAGAGAGAGATAATGAGTCAACTCGATTTCCCTCATTCCACTAATAGAATATAGTACTCTAACCTACACGTAGACCGGATGGACTAACCGACCAATACCGTTGCAGTTTCGCCCTCTCGGCCTCTACCGGACCCGACTATAGGCTATAGGACCGTCCATCAGATCTGGCCATTAGGGCCTGTCTGTCCTGGGGGTAGTCCGGGCCTGCTATTCGCAGTAAGTGTACGTATAGGAAATTCGAAATAATGCTGGGCCTATATTTCCCATATTTACAGATGTGACCCTCACGAATTTTCCTCACAGGTTGGTCTCACGGTTACGCCCGAGTCAAACGAAATTACAAATCTAACCCTACGGGGTAGTATACAGCCTCGCCATCAGTCTTCACAGTCAGACTGGAAATATATATATATATATATATATATATATATATATAATCAGCACGTCAAACTAAAAAGCCGAAAAACATAAAAGTCGCATGTACAAGATACTACGACATAACATGATGTCAGTCCTCAAACAACTCGACATCATCTGCGTCCAATAGAGAATCGCATGATCGATCGGACACGACATCCGCCGGTCCAGGCAACCCATCCCCATCGCCAATGATGAAAACATCGTCATCCCCCACAACGTCGGGATCCGCACTTGAAGCAACGTCGTCCTTGTCACGGGCAATGGTATCCTCGCCTCTGCAAAAAAGATCGCGAGGCAGAGGAGGTGTCGAGGACCCGACCTCGTCCGACACATCACAGTCGTCGTACTCGAGAAGGCGTCGAGCCCAATCTGAAACACATTTTGAACCGAAGATGAACGTGGACAACCGATTCATCCACGAATCGGTAGGTGGCCGATTGTGACGGTAGTGGCTCGGCCTTGGACAAATCGAAGTCCCAGAAGGCCTGCCGACACGATACTCCAAGGGATCCTATCATGCATGGTTGTTCCATCGAATGACTGCAATCTCCAAACGCGGCTTATACGACTTCTCGAAGTGCAAGGCCTTCTTCGCGTAAATGATGATTGTGCCCTGGAAGGTCTCAACCGTCGACGTGTGACGGAACTCCGTGTAGTACGAACAAACGGTCGTGCTGCAATGCCTGCCCAACGTCTGGCGAATGATGTCATACACGGGGTTGTCGTGCGTGTACAATGGCAGCTGAGATGGGCCACCTGCCTTTGAGCATAAAAGCTCTCTGTCCGCAACGCACCTGGAGTGGTCCCCGGCCCAATGGTCGGTGATCATCATGACATCATTGTGCAGAGTGACGAAGTCGCCGCCCTCATCTCTGCAAAGCTGGGAAGCACGAAGAAACCAATGCCCCACCTCATGCATATGAAACTCAGTCACACCATCTGCATCCACGACCAAGGATTTGTTGTTTTTCATCGTGCCGTACGGGTACATTTTGCTCATCACAAGAGCAACGAAGTCGCTCTTCTTCAATCGTTCTTCTTTTGCCGTCACAGACCCTGGTCCATAATGGTCCGTCAAGGCATCCAACAACTCTTTCGTGAACTGCATAAACTGAGATTCCGACACGCACTGATGAGGGTTGTTAAATTTCTTTGGCACCTTCAGTGTCACGACTT